TTTCTAATTTCAGATCCCACTCTCCTAATTTATCAAATAGTTCAATTAATAGTAGATTAATGGATAACAATGAAGCCAAATCCCTTAGGGTTCTAGGAGCTAATTCACCAACGCCTGCTAACTTAGCGTTTACACCCACCTCTGTCCTACGCAAAATGACGGCTGGATCCAACGCTGGTGACAAGGACCCTGCTCTGGACCCATTGAGCAACCTCTCCTCCATACCTGGAGAACTCAAACCTGGTAATAATAAATTCATGAATAATTATTTAAAAACATTCATTTTACCACGAACTTGTAAAAAATGATAAAAATCGCGTACTCACTGGCGCTAAATTAATTTAATCGGGACGGATTAATTGAGTTCGCTGCTGGCTGATGATGGGTCCATCTCAACCCCGAAAAGCGTCCCGATTAAATTAATTTAGCGCAAGTGAGTACACAATTTTTATCATTTTTTACAAAAATTGTCTTGTGACTGTCCCCCACAAAAGTTCCTATTTACTATGAACTTCTCATAAAATTATCTGTCTCAAGAATTTGTATCAAATGTTTGCTCTTTCAATTTGGCTTCTCAAAGTTCAGCTTCCTTATAGGTCCTTCTCCCTCAGATTTATGATACGGCAAGTTATGATAAAATTTGACAATTGGGCATCTTTAAACTGCCTTCGCATAAGAAGAGTTAATATCTTCTATAAGCGGGTATTTCAGCATCGAACTATCTTAATGTATGTACACTTGCAGCAAACGGAAAGCTCGTGTTCATTTAAGAATAATTTTGCCATGATTTCTTCAAGGATTCTTTTGTTCCTCTGTCTGGTCTCGCCATAGATAGATTACACTTTACTTCGACAGCACAGTGTAAGTGCTATCAAAAGCACTTACACTGCTCAGCAGAATCATGAAAATTTACCATTCAAAACACTAGTCATTATGACCATTCTCGCCTGGCACAACCAACAAAAAATGGTAAATCCTTAATATGATTCATATTTGAAATGTATTGATTTTACCCAGATTGGGTAAAATCAATTGTTGGGTAAAACCAATCAATTCTTTGATAAAATCAAAAAATTGGGTGATCAGAAACCACAGCTGAAAACCTCCTTTAACATATTAACCTAAGATTGCCGATCTTACCTGTAAGCAAGTAGCACCTTAGAAAAATTGCATTGTTTTATTTTTTTCAGGCCTAGACTCCAATGCTGGTCCTTTACCAGGATCACACTGGAATAACCCCCGACCGGTTGGGCGACCAATCGTGAAATCAAGTTCAATGGTTCCACCACCTACATTCCAACCAAGCATACCTCCTCCCTCCATGATGAACGAGTATTTGATGAATGTCCCACCACCTCCATCGCAGTACAATGTGATGCCACCCCGTTCTAAAATGTCACAACCCTCATCGCAGTACAACAATGCAATGATGATGGGTCTCAACCGCCCTAGCAACTACCCCTCCAGAGGTAAGATAAGTTTTAATGTTCACACCAATTTTTTTTTATATGTGATGTTGACCGAATTTTCGGTGTCTGACTATTAAGTAAAGGTGGGCAGTTACGGAAAATCTTAAATATTTCAGTGTTGTCAATGTTTTCCAATATTCGTTATTAATTTTTAGATAAAAAATTATTTTTTAATACATTTTTTGTGAATTAAAGATGTTAGGAGATACACGCTCTGGCTGCTTGCTACTGTACCTAATCTCTTTGCAGCAATGAAAAATATAAGTCTTAATCCAAAAATTTGATGGTAGCAGGCTCGTCCAGAAATTATTAACTACCATATAAACAGAAAAATCATAATAAGTGACCTGGTAAATTGCTTAATGTAACTATTTATCTACATAATTTACCAAGGCAAGTTCACATTTTTAAAAGAAAATTATACTGTGCAACGAAATATAGCTGCCAAGATGGGACAAATATCCATTACCAAAAACTATGATTATAACTACATATAGCAAAAAACTTTTAGAAAAGATTTGGAGCTTTAAGTAATAATCTATTGACAGCATCTTATTTATGATTTTTACATCTTCGATTTTTTCGTTGTTTACATATTTTTTTTCCATTTTCTTCTTGACATTTTAATAATTGGTGGTATTGTGAGCCATTTCACAATATTCTACTTGTTGTTCTCTTGCTTCTCAACTAACTTTGGTGTTCAATATGTTTCCAGATATGAATTCCTCGAATCGTGGAATGCGCTCAACACCTTTCCCCATGGGCAACTCCCAGAATATGTTTGGACAGGACTCGAGCGACATGCCTGGGGAAATGTCCTCTTCACAGGTAAACAACCAACTTCTCCGCTGGTTTTCCCCTGAGCTCTTAGCCCAGGCGCGTGCCGGACAGTTACCTAACATGCCTCCAGTTTCGCCTGCTCAAAATATGTTAAGTGTGGAAGAAATAGAACGACTGCAGCAGCCAGTAAAGAACTAACTCCAGTCCTGCCAAAATGACCGAAATCTGGTAGTCTGTTCATCACCTCTTCTCAGATTCTGCTTAAGTTTTTCAAAACTCGTATCCGATTTTTCCCCCCCTCCTTTTCTTTAAAGATTATTTTAATCGCCGTTTTATGATTATTTGTTAGCAACGTTCTGCCTAACTCATGACTTGCCCTTGTTAGACTCAGGTTTTACTGTCTTTGTGGTTGTGTTTTAGTCAAGAGTGCAAGAGTGCCTTTTGAATGGTCGCTTTACTGATTTTTAAATTGTTATTTGAGAACAAGTCCCGTACTGCCTCTTGCGTTTAGGTACTGATTTTAATGTTAGGGCATCTCAATTATAATTCTCATTCTAAACGCCAGGATCATATTTATGACCAAAAATTGGTCTAGCAAAATTTTGCAGGGCACTCGGAAAGAAAAAAGTAGATGTGAAATTGGTCTGGAAAAATTTTGCAGGGCATTTGTAAGGAAAAAAAACGAAGTAATTTCTCCACTTTCCCCTCCTCTTGTTAAATGTTCAAACTTAGAATTTTACAATCAACTTATTACTTTGGAAGAATAATCTTTTCTTTTCTCTATTTTTGTCTCCTGTTTTCCCCCCCCTTCTCTCTGTAAATTTTATGTACAAACATGTGAATAAGAAACTATTATTTTGTCTGTTCATCGCAACTGTATTATTTATTTTTCTTTGTCTCATGCTGTTGAAAATTTTTGTTTCTGTTTTTTGTACTGATTGAATGTCGCCCTTCTTTTCCTAGTCCATCTCTGAGTACTTTTCAATGGCTGAACTCCAAAACCATGCGTCTTCATTATGAGGTTTCCAATTTTCTTCCCTTACATTTTTTCCTCAGAAAGAAAACATTTCAGCACCACTGCTTGGGAGCCCTCTCCAAGTGCCCATGGGATGAGGAAGAAAATCAGAGGAAAGAAACGAAGTTATTTCATCTAGTAAACCCTCTGAAAATAAAGAATGCAAAGGCATTTTGAAACATTGCAATAAGAGCACATGGTTTTGGAGCTCAGCCATCGTCTTCTCTTTGTTTTAGTCGTAAGACCAACCTTCCGAACGTTGATTTATCTTTAGTCTTTCTCTCAAAGCTTTTTGCTTAATTTTGAGCATCCCAATTCAAATAGTGCGTACTTTTCATAGTCTTAACCTTTGACCATGAATTTGTTATTAAAGTATTGCAAGCAATTTTCTCACCAGGACGGAAGAAAGTAACTCAGGGCCTTACCTTTGAACTTCCTCGTGAGTCATTCAAAATTGATGGGTTTACTGCAAGAAATGCCCTTAAGTTACGTGAAAAAGCTCGATAGGTTATAAAACTATCACAAACTAGTGATCCTCATTGAAATAACTGTTTCTTAAAATTGAAAGGCTGATGAAGAAATTTAGTTGAATTTTCATTTGTGACTATTCGGTTTTGAACCTCTAAGTGATCTGTTTTTAATTTTTAGCATTAAGAGTCATGTTACTTATTTTGTTTTTTGTCCCAACTTATTTTCTCAAATATATATTTGTAAATCGGTTAACTTATGTCTTCTCCTTTGATCAAATGACTCAACATTCTTCAATTTCCTGCACCATTTTTCAAATATCTTGAAACTTTGTTATATGTACCAAATGAGACACGATGAGGAATGAAAAACATGTTCTTTTCGACCGAGGACAAGAAAGTGAAATCTCAACTGCATGTTAAGCGTTTACCCAGCCACATTTTAAGTAACAATTTTATACTTTCTCAACAGAATTTTTAGGTTTTGCTCAATCTTATCTGCACTACAGACACTGAATTTTGGATTTAATCCAGTTTTTAAATGCTTGGTCGACAATTCAAGCTCGTTACTTGCTTCCATCACCATTTTCTTTCAGAGTTGAATTGAGGCAGAGGCAAATCTTCAGAAACCAACTACTTATTAACTACTCAGAAAAAATCTAAATTTGTTAACTAGTAGAATACCAACAGCCGCCCTTATGTTTCAGTTGTAAGGCAATAAAATTGAGATTAATTTCGATATGACTTTCACAAATCATGTTCAATTGTTTGGTTTTAATAAGAATTTTAAATTTTTTTTCAAAATGTGACGGTACCGTCTCATTGAATCTTTGAATTTTCTCTAAGTGAAAACTTTAGCCCAGTGACGCACTATCCTATTATTAACGACTATCTACATTTTAAATGATAACTCCTGGTCGACCATTACATTGTTACTTATTTCTAATAAAATTATTTTTATTCGAAGACCCATGTCAGTGTATGGGGAGGAAAAACGGAGTGGTAAATTTTTATTCCTACTAGCCTCCCCCCCCTCCCTCTTAAATTTCTGATTTTTATTGTCTCCTAAAATATACCTTTTAGAAGAGTGTATCTAGATGGTTTCGAACAATTTGTGTTAGCCAATTGTGTGCTTTCCTCTATTGTAAATACAAAGCCTCCCTTTCTTCTTTTCCCTTTGTGAATAGGACTACTCATTTTAGTTTTATCTTGATTTTTGTAAATACAAAAACAAAAGGTTGTCATTAATTGTAAATAATCAGTTTTCTAACAAAAATCTCAAGAAATCTGTCTTAGTTCTTTTCTCCTTTTTTTTCTAATTTCTGAATTGAGAGAAAGATGAAATGCGGTAGCAAATAAAATGAAATATCAACGACCATGAATAAGTGAAGGTTGAAATCAGAGTGGTGTTCGAAAAGTTACTGCATGATTGGCATCTTATATTAGCATTATCTTGTTATTATTTTCATTGTGTAAGATAAAAATATCAAAAGTGGCTGTGAAATTACTCCTTATTACTATTTAGAATTTGGAAAATTAATAAAATGTGTTTTTCCTCTCTTACATTTGTTCCTTTTTTCTCGTAAAGTTCTGATCAAAGAATAGATTAACAATGATGATTTACTTTTATTCCAGCAACCATTCATTAAATTAATGTATTTCAATTGCAAATACCTGAAAGATAGGTATTTAATTTCTTTCCAAGATTATCATGACAGCATTCAAGTGTATCTTTCTTCATGCACCCTTCAACTATCCTTTAACTGCGTGCATGTGTCATGAGTACGCGAAAAAGGGGATTTTTAGAGGCAAGTCATTCAACTTACGGTGGAGATCAGCGTAGGCTTGACTATTGGGTAATTTTCCCTTAATTTTTCTTAAGCATTGCAGCAACGCATTAGAGAGTTCTGTCTTATGTAAGTACCTTCTGAGTTTTCCCAAAAATTAAAATTCAACCATTCCGTTTTTTCAGTAGGTATCAAAATCAATTGGATATTTGATATAAGAAAGCTGTTGTGCAGCAAGGGTGACAGCATTTATGAAATGGTCATCCAGGTTGCCAGGTTTAATGAAATATAGTTTAAAAAAATAGTTCTATAGACTTTAAAGGTGAATCTCCAGCACTTTAGAGAACAACTCAATAGTTGATCCAACAATTGATATTTTTTGGGTATTCGGACTTTTCTTTACACTCTCTGGGTATCACTAAACGTTGTAGTGAATTAGGTACATGCACACAAAATTTGACGGAGAGACACTCTGAAATAACTTCGAAAGTGCGCCCTGAGTGAATATTGCAAATCGTTTTGCCTTTCGATTTGCAAAATTCACCTGAGACGTACGTGCTTTTCAAGGTATTTCCAAATGTTTCTTGGTCAAATTTGCTGTACAAAAACTGACTTTCTATGTAGAGCGTAATGTGATGCTCAAAAATTCTTAGTAAGTGTCTTGAGGTTCAGAGATGATCAATTTATTGATGAATTGTTGAAAATATTGATGAATTGAATGAATTGTTTTCTGAAGTGCAAAAGATCCACCTTAAGTCCCGCCCTTTCTTAACATCCTCCCAAGTTTTCAAAGCAATGATGGCCCATCCCAAAATCCCCTGCAATAAAGAGTCTAAGTTATATTTAGGTGCATTGAAACAATAATTCTCAAAAGATAGAGCAATATTGCATTGGAGGATGTTGCAGCACTGGTAAATTAAATTTGAAAAGCAGAAGAAAAGGAAATTGCGCAGGACGCAAGATATATTATTTTTTGGGCGAAACGTTAATGACTGCAATTACATCTACGATGATTCTTACCAGGAAATATTGCCTGGTGAAATAATATCAATATTCCTTTGTGATGATGTGACAATATTCCTCAAAAAAATTGTTTTCTGACACAAAAAGGATGTGATAACAACAATTCTACTGCTTGCTCCGCAGAATGTGTCTTATTTTTCAAGTAGGAAAAGGTGTAAAAAAGAGTAATAAGAATCCAATTAATTTTAAATATTCAGGGTAGGTTTATTATTCTAAAATAATAGACTTCAGACTTCTTAAAATTGAAAACGGACAAAAGTATTTTTTACTATCACAATAATGACTGAAAGGCTGTCTTTCTCCAGATGAAGACGGCCAAAAATCTCTCTTAAAATCGTTTAAAACCAAATAAGTTAAGCAAGACTCCTTTAATTTTCAGTTGCCAAAATCTCTAGGGCACCAATGACTGACTGATACTTAGTACGAACTAGCAAAAGCTTAACTGGAAAATTTTTCTGGCATGACTCATGTTAATGTAGCAAGCTATGTACATTCTTTCAGTTAAATAATAACATTAAAGTACATTATACAAAACTAAAAGAATAATAGTATTTATGACTGATATAGAAGATACTCTTTCAGAGCCTTCGGTAAAGGTAGAGAGGAGACGGCTTGATTTGTTAAATGCTGCAGAATGGCATCCCTGCAAGCGCTCTGCAAAGAAGCAACTGAAACAAACACATGAAAAACAAATTAATTACATATGTGACAGGATACAAATTCTCTTTTTCAAAAATGGGACAAGCGATTTCCACAGCAGAATAGTATGACCACAAAGCACATTATCCAATCAAGTATTCACTCCACTAGTTCTGCAAAATAATAGCTAACTATTTGATGGATGGTCTCATGGAGACAGTCAAAAAGTTTGATAATCTTATTCAATAGCAATAGAAATTCCTTAGAAAATTAAGTTACACAGCTAATAATTTTTCAAATGCTGAAGGATTCTGCTCACTTCTTTTTCTTTTCATTCCTCCAAACCGAGAACCCTATTTCCTCTTTAAATGTCCAAGAGAAGTCCAGTGAGAGTGTAAGGGAATGAAAATCTTGTCTGTGGCGACCGCAACAGCTTTTAACTTACATGGCTGTTTTCTCATTAAGTGTCTAATTGATATTCATAGGTACTATCATTGGTAGCTGCAGCTGATGTAAAAAAACTTAAGCACTTTTAAAATACAGCTATATCTATTGACTTGCCTTAATTACCAGTCGAGGAGAGTATGAAATGTGAGCTGTTTTTGCTGTAGCTGTCTAACTACAGTATCTCAGTCCTTCAAACTCAAAATAAAGTAAAATGGGAAACTTCCGAAGATGGAAATTAACATACATTTTTCAGAAAAGTCACGGCAAATATTTTCAAGGCAGCAATTAGTACGTTAAGAAAGAATATTTTTAGTCTTTCTTCAGTCAATGTTTTGCGAAACGTTCAACATTTCATTTGGAACATGGACTGGAATATTCCTTTAACCTATTCAGTTTTAACTGAGTCTTTCATCATCGAAATTTTATCATTTTGTAATCAATAATTTCGAGAAAAAAGTACTTAAGATACTTGTACTAGAAGGAAATGGTAAAACAGAATTGATAATTTCATGAGAGATCTTAATTTCCATGATTGAAAGACTGGTAGGCTATGCTGATTTTTTTACAGGAGCTCCTCAGGTTTCAAGGCAAGAAGAAGTAAAAAATACACTTAGAAATGAAAAAGGCTGATACTCACTTCCATAAATTTGGACAATTTTGACTTGTTTGGTTGTTCCATAGACATCTACTACAGCGTGAAGAGGAGCTTTCTTGTACGGAATATGGGCATAGCACGCTCCTTGATCCTCTCCGTTGATGATGAAATGCATCTCAGCAACATCCTTGTCACCCTGCTCATTTGGAATGTACATTACACCAATCCTGCTACCAACATCAGTTGGTAAAATTTCCTGCGAGAAACCTACAGATGAAGGTCTAAGAATGCACCTCGGAATAGTTCCACGTGATGTTTTGATGTTGTTGTCATCCCCGAGTAAATGCTTTGGAGAGTCTTCTTGATTCGTTCTGGACACGCCACTACTAAAGTTATCTAGTTCATAAACATTATTCTGTGTCTTCGTAATTGCATAAACCCAGGAAGTGCTGGTATTTGTCAAATCTGGTAGGGCATACTGCGGTGGACATTGTCCATCAGCATACTGTTTTTCCAGATCTAATTGTGTCAATCCTAATCTCATGTATCCACTCCATCCTCGTTCGTTTTTCTCTATTTCAATCAGGAATATTTCACCCGGAAGAAGGGGTTTCTCACTAAACGTCAATGCATTGGCAAAACTCGATTTGCGGTAAGCGACTGTGTTATCTTCCAGAAGCTGGATGTTGTTGCCATGGAATTGATGGAATCGAGTAACAACCTTCCGGGCAACTGGTTGTTGTTCATCGTTCATGTTGGCAAGAATGGAAATTCACATTTGAAGTTCAAATCAATGAATGGGGCGCAGTGCAGTGGGAGTCAAGCCACATTGAAGAGCACCACTAACTGCCTTCAAAAGATTACGGGAACAGTAATTCTTAGTGGATAGTAGATTACTACTGACAATTCTGGTATTTTATGTTAGAAAATCAATGATTATGCAAGATCCTGGCCGCTGATCGTGAGTTCCTACTTCCTACTTGGACATCGAGATGATTACTTCTAGTGACAAGACTGACAGCTTGGCAGGATGCAGACACTGAGTTAAAGAATTTCAACTATGATTCTTAGGAAAATAGATGTGGATAAAACGGTGTCTTGCAGCTGTCCTATTTTAAACCGTAAAGTGTCTCAAATGACAGCAGGAAGCTAATTGAAAAATTCGGCTCCAGGAACAGGGTGTCACTATGAGATTGAAAAGCCACGAACCTGCCGATGAAATTTGACACAATAACGCCTCTGAATGTTCAAACTTTTCACTCCCACGTAAATGCTTACTAACACTAGTAATTCGAAAACTTTCTATGAAATCACAGAACTTTTCGTCCGCCTAACAGAAGGAAGTGACTTACTTGAAACTCAAAAAAAATTATGTCTGCTCCCAACAGTCATGTCAACAATCTCACAGATGTCCAGCCAAAGATTACAGAAAGAAGTTATCTATCATCCTGTTCAAATGTTTACGTTCATGATCTTTGGTTCATTATATTTTGCTAATTGCTGCAACTTTTATTGATTCATGTTTTAGTGTTTAAGAAAATTAGCCGCTTCATATGTTACAAATTGAAATAAATTGCTCAATACTGCTAAAATTTTTCAGGAAAATCAAAGCCAAAACAAAGATCTCTACACAGCCGCCAAATGTATGTTATCAGATATGTAATATTAATTTTTTGTGTATATGTGTGACGATTAAATATCCATCTTATGGTAACTGTAGAAAATATTAATATTATTTTGTGGGGACTGTTTGTCTTCCTGATCAAAGTCAACTTACCTCTTGAGTCTTGAGTGAGTTTGAATCAGAATAATTATTTAAATAATTTTGGCAACCATGTGCTAAAGCTTCTGGGCGGTGGAGGTTATGTTATTGTTTTTCAGCGGTGAGGTGAAATCGCATATTGTGTAACTTGCTCAAAAGAATCAGTTTATCTTATCTACTGTTGTTTCACCTTTTTGATTGAATTTCTTTCTAAGATCTTCGTGTCAGAGAATGAGAGCACAAGCTGTGCTTGAAGCAGTATCAGTGTTTCCTCAACCAGCATAATGGCTCAACGTGGATTAAACTTGTGTTCCCAAGTGGATCAGTTTGTCACAAAATCTTTCCTTTGTAGCAGAACAACCTCCTGCAGTCGCAGGAACTGTAAGTCGTCATTTTTTCTAATTATTTAACTCTCTTCATAGCCGTCCTTTTGGGGTGTGGTGTAGCAATGGGACTGATTCTTTCCATGAATGGTGACCGGCTTATCTTTCCTCAAAAGCTTACGACCTAATCTCAGTCAGCTGTTACATGTATATGTAACAGCTTCATGTAAAAAAGTAAAAAAAAAGTTACAATTTCCGAAAGTAAGAGCAGTTAAGATTCTTTCTCTCAACGGTATCTTGTGTATGTCAGTTCTTGATCGTTATGGACTTGTGTCGGAATATTCTGTGTATTATAATCACTGACTACCGCACTGAACGCCTGGTGTGGATGAAGGTTGCCATTTGTAGTTTGGTTGTTCATCAAGTATTATTTGTAGAACTTTGTACCTGGTTATCCCAGATTGTCATATTGAAACTTTAATATTGACCACAGTTCATAGACATTGAAGATTCATGATAATCAAAGTTTACAGAGAAATTTGAATTTTGTTTACTATTTCTCACAGGTACTACATAATGGAACCTTGAGTCCGTAGGAGCAAGTACCTATTTTTATGTTCTCATTACTAATATCTTGAATATTTAAATTAGTCTTTAGGACAAAATACTGACTGAATAATCTCCGAACTAGTCTCTACCCTGCTTTCAAAGCCAGAAAAATAACCACCGAACTGACTCCGAGAAGTTTTTTTTCAGTTGATTTATGTATGACCCTTTAAAACCATATGACCGTATGAAACTTTCCAACATAGAAAGTTTTTATTTGAAAGTAGAGTATACCAAGCAAGATTACCATTATATTTGCCCAACTTCTCTTGAGTCAACCCCATCGAAATACAAGACAGGATAGTGGAGTGCTAGGTTTGAAGTGTCCCGATAATCTGTGGAATCCCTCCCCCCTTTCATATAGGGCCTCTTTTTGAATGTCAATGAGGGTTCCAAGAGTGCTGCATTTTTGTTTTGTTTCCTGAAGAGTAGAAGAGTAGACGGACATTTTCCTCAAAGGATCCAAAGTCCAAAGATAAACCAATACTTAAATCATTGAAGGTATCCGGAAATTTGTCAGCTTTCCCCATTTTGGGAACCTCCTCTACTCGAAGAGTTAAACTCGATGACCTTTGTCTCCCTTCTCATGTAATATTTTCCGAAATTTTTCCATCGATTTTGTGAAATCTGAGTGATTTTCACCTCGATTTTGCAGAAAATACTAAAGCACGCCAAATTGCACCGGTCCTCTCATGTTGATAGTTTAAAAGCCTGTTTTCAGGGCCTTACGAATTTCGCAGAGGACCGATCGCGACCCGCCAGTCACGCGACGACTGAGAAATATGTTCGCAGCCCAGAATCACAGACACTTGTATGAGCAAAGTTTTCAGCGCCGTTTGCTCCTTCAAACGAGAATTTCCTCCTTTATCAAAAAATCTCCTCATTCCGAGCGAATATTTTCCGCGAATTGAGAAAATTCTCCCCCACAAGGTTCAAACTCACGCTCGGTGATTATTTTCTGCCCGGTAGACTGGAGAAGAACGTCGTTCAATGGCCGTGGGAAATGCTCGAAAATGCTCCTAAAAAGTAAAAAAAAAAAACAGCACGTAAATCGTCGGAATTGTCTCCGAGGATTTTTCCGCCGCCACTTAATTTGGATAAAAATTTCCCTACTGATCAACTCTGGAACCCTGTAGGGTTGTCCCGTAACCGCGTAAAACTAGATTTTGCACCCCTGATCCGGAACCGCGATTACCTGATCACTGAATTTCGCACGCACAATGTAGCCGTGTAACTGCGAAAAACCGCACGTCCCCGTCAGGGCCGGATTTACTTACTTGCCGCCCCCTTCTCATTCGTTTTGAAACATTAATAAAAACCATCAAGTGAACGTGCCGGAGGGGGAGGAGGCGTATAAGACGTGTATACTCGTGTTGGTCACATTTTTTGCGAAAGCCCTGTCAACACTACTAGCAAAAGTTCACGGAACTTTTCGCGAAAGTTGAGTTCCGTAAACCTATCTCTGTATGGACAAGGCCTTCCATTCATAAGAAATGAACGAAAAAATTATGAAAGAACAAACATAAATGTGGTTCAATGATTTTAACTTCCGCCGCCGCACCGCGCAGACCGCTCCGTGTTTGGCGCAATACGTGTAGTATTCCGACAGTCTTGTAGGCGCTATGCGTTTCACGCTGACAGCACTGTGTTTGGCGCAATGCGTGAAGTATTCATGCAGTCTTGTAGGCGCTATGCGTTTCACGCTGACCGCAGCGACCGCACTGGCTTTGGCGCAATGCGTGAAGTATTCATGTAGTCTTGTAGGCGCTGTGCGTTTCACGCTGACCGCAGCGACCGCACTGGCTTCGGCGCAATGCGTGAAGTATTCATGCAGTCTTGTAGGCGCTAATATGTGTTACATGCCGACCGTCGCGCCGAGGGTTTCTCCTTTTCATCTCACGTTCTCGTCATCATTGCTCTCTGCGCCGCCAGGCCAAATTCCGTGTTCGCTTTCTCTTTTAGTCTTAACTCGACTAATCAAAGGTGCTTTCACAAAAGGACGACAAAATTAGAGATATACTCTCAAGAAATGAGAGATTTTGTCACCTTTTCTCGTTCGTATTTTTTTTTTTTTTTTTTTTTTTTTTTTTTTTTTTTTTTTTTTTTTTTTTTTTTTTTTTTTTTTTTTTTTTTTTTTTT